TACTCAAGCTTCGTTTCATTTCTATTAGAATTGTCTAATTTGCAAAACACAGCACATTTCAAGATGTCTACCTTGTCCATTAGCATACGACTTTACATACATTTGAATAGGAGCAGAAAAATCTCAAATCTACTGTTTTGTCGAAAAACATGACTCGTCGGAACGATTTTCCCTTTCTTTTTACAATAAAATGCATGCCTATTGTGTAAGCTATGAAGATTGGTTTCATGCGTTGTCCCAAAAATACAATTCATTTTCGGGTCTTGTCATTGTTGTCAAGCAAAAAAAACGCGTATGTATTAGAACTGAGAAAAACTACTACCATTGAAGTATATTGTTACCTTTACAACTCCATGTGAAATCGATTTTATAAAAAACGCGATGTTCGACTGCGTATTGAAATTCAGCCGAAATGCGATTTGAAAGAATTCACTGTTTAGTTCACATATGGCTTCATATCTGCCCCCGTAGTTTGCCTTTATGAAAAACCTTTCCTTCATAGTAATTTTGGCACCTCTTTTGAAAAAATTTCTGACAGCTTTCAGTATTATCCGTGCGTCGGCACCGTGCCAGCGCTGCTCCAGCGCCGTGCCAATGCTGTGCTAACGCCAGGCATGGACTCATGTAAACAGCCTCGTATTGATCCAAAATTTCGATATGATGCTAGCACGCTGGAACAACGCTAGCACTGTGCAAGAACGGTACTAGCTTCACACGAGCGAGTTTTTCACGGGCAACTATGAGAGCAGTCCAAGGAACACGAATTGTCAGATGGCCTGCAAAAATTCCTGCTAGAATATGCCTAAATGACTTGCAGAAACCTCGTCAGTTGACTTTCTTATATTTGACCATGTCTCCCTTCTTCTCAATAATTCAACTTGTTCTGGTTGTTTCCAAACTTCGTCACCCTTTCTCTCTTCTTTTTTATTCGTCTTTCACTCTTTTGCCTTCTTTTACATTTCTCGAATATTCGGAAAAGCATGCTCTACCTTGTCCAAAATGTATCATTTTCAGTGTATGTATGCATAGATGCACAAGGTTTATTTTTCTATTTTTCTTCCGAGATAATGTTGCTACGTAATTCGACCTCTTTTCTTTTATCCTCACTATTCGTCCATATGTTCGTTTTCTTTTCGTTTTCTTTTCTCTGAATTCCCCCCGCAACCATTATCTCTCGCAAAACGCATGGCACAGTTGTGGAAAATAAAAGCGCCCTTTTCGCTTCGTTTTCCCTAGAGAGCCCGGAACTCAAGAACTTTGAGAGTCGTTCTCGTGCTCTGAAAAGGATGAGTGTCAAAGTGCTTGAGTTCGGCAAAGTTTCCACTGAGCTGACGTCACTTTCCTAGCGACAATTGAAGGAGAAAATGAAGGGTTGCCACTGGGAGCGCTGTTAGGGTCACGAGTGGAAAGAAAACTTAACAACTTCCGATTTTCATAGAACAAATGTTACTTCACGAACTCGAATAAAATGAATTTTATAACAAACAGTGCTGAATCTAGGAGCAGGTAAAGTCGGGAGCAAAGTGTCTGGTAAGGTGTGCAATAGCACACTCAACATATTCCAGTTCCAACAAGAAGGTGTATGGGAGTCTGTACCTTGGTATGCGTTTTGCACACGATGCGCGTCACTGGACGGCTAGTCCAAACCTTCTCATTTTCAAGTATTTCTCCATGTTTCCTTCTCTTTTTTGATTTGATTGTATATTTATTAGTTAGCAGAACACATTTCCACGTTCCTTACGCTAAAAAAGGTTCGCACTAACTTGTTACAGAAAGGATGTCGTCGATTGCCGCGCATTGCGTGCAGACTCACACGTGGAGTTTCAAGTGACTCAAGGGTATATTTTGTAAATGTTACCTGTGATTTTTTTTGGTCTGCCATTTTTTTAATTCGAATCAGCTGCTTAAAAGCGCCTACCAAGCGATTTTGCACCGAGAGCGATGAGTTCTGTAAATGCACACATTCGCTCTGACGATTCCACTATGATTCAGTGCAACTCTGATACTTTGTACCTGCTTTTTTCCTCTACTCACTATTCATTTGAATTTCTGTTAGAGACTTTTTAGCTATCGAAGCAGAAATGGCGAAAGGAGCTTGTTTCTTGCAACTACCTAATATAATGGCAAAGCATTAGGTTACCATCAATAATTCAAAGCTTGAGTCTGATTGTGTTTTTTATGCTATGCGACCAAAAGGAATCTTTTATTCATGCAGAGTGAAGCAAAAATAGTAAGCAATCGACCATTAGCGTTTTATACGGCAAGAAACACAGAAAGAGATGCCTGAAAACATTTGATGCTGCAAAAGCTGAGCAGAGGAAGAACGGGAGGAGGAGGAGGTAGGGGGGGGGGGGGAGAGAAAAATTGGGAGAAGCGAAAGATGTGAAGTATTCGTAGGATTCGATAGATTTAAAGGTTACTATCGCGGCGCCGACAGCATCTGCGCGTGAAATTGGGCGCAAAAATGCACGAGGGAATTTCGAAAATTTACGCGCGGGCGTTGTTGGCACCGCATGTGCACCATACTGAACGCCAACTCTCGCCAATGCCAACTATTGGATTATACGTCTAAGTTAAAGCTGAGTGTTCGCGTCATTTTCGATGTTTTAGTACATGAAGTGAGAGAAAAAACAGGATCGAACTTGTTATGAGGGTAGTTCTCCAAATCAGATAATGCCTTTAGCTAATGATGTGCAATTACACATTGATAAATTTTATAAGATTCATTTATTTTAAATTCTATTTTATATTCATGGGCTGCTACTTAACAAAGGCGCAACCTTGGGCGCGAACGGCCGCAGAGCGCATGAGGCGCAGGATTTACAACGGCGAAGATACGCGCGCGCCGCGTTTGCGCCCGCTCAGCTAATATTGCTTCTGCGCCCGTCATGCAATAGCCTTCAGTCCCAGATAGACAAAAAAAACAAATAAGTACTCTTTTCATCAAATCAATCTATTTTAATTCCTAACATCGATTACCCTAATCCGAAAAAGGCAGTAATTCTTCGGAAACATTGAGTTTCTTGTTCATAATATTGTTGTGCAAGTACACACATTCCCATTACAACTACTCTACTATAGATGTGTGTTGATCTCTCAGACGCTCATCTTAGGCGTTCAAGTACTAAAATAACATCACAACGGTCCAAAGATGGCTATTCTCGATAACATGCGCTCAGTACAATGTGCTTGTGACAAAGTCTAGACTACTTGAGACGAAGTTGACATGATGCTTTTTTGAAGACTACAAATCTAATCTATTATCAGACATCGGCGCCTGAAGGTAAAAGGGGAAAAATAGAAGTCATTTCAATTCTATGGTTACCACCTACGTTACGAGTCATCGCGTGCATCATGTTAATGGAATTTTCAGCTTCTATGCAAAAATTATGCATATTTTGCAGATTTTTCCAAGCACCTGACAAGGTTTCGTAATTTCATACGCAATTTTGAAGATTAAAAGTACACAATGCATTTGTTTGCACTATTAGCTCGAAACAGTAAAATGCAAAGATGGGACCAGAGACAAAATATCAGAGACTATGCTTAAACAAAGAATTTTTTCTCTCGCTTACAATGTAAATAGAGGGCCTAGAATGGCTTGTTTTTGAAAAAAATAGCATTTCCAGGCAAGTTGCGCATGCATTACGCTGTACTGTAACCACAAGCGCAGTTCGCGCGGTATTGTGCAATTGCACTGCGCGAGCCTATCAAGGATGAATAATCTGAAGACAAAACATCTTTACCTCCAATTCTAAATTGGTCACTGTTGCAGCATTGTTTCTGGGCTTTGACTCACATAAATTTCTAAAAATTCATAGGGTGGGGGGAGGGGAGGGTGTAGGTTCATCATACCAGTCGGATTCCATTTGTACATTTTGAGCGAGCGCTACAGCTGAAATGTTAGGAAAACTTCTAATTTTTCTCTCCATAGTGTAATTGAAAATCGTTGCATATTTTTGCGATTGTGTCTTCAGTCTATATTAAATAGTATAAGAAGATCTCTCGGTTGAAGAAACCTATTGGCAATCTGGGAATCCGCAATCCAGAACGAAAAACTTGAACTTGAGTTCAAAAGAAATGGAGAAAGGAGTTGAGTTCCCTTTCACGAAATATGTCGGAAGAATGTTGTGGAAATACTGCATTGCGATTGTACTCGGAAAAACATGCACTGATTTTGCACCAATCTTTCTTTAGCTCTGAACGTTCTATTTATACCAGTAGATAATTTCGTGGGCACTGTGTGTGTCAATGCACGCACTCTAACTATTGCGCGTATCCATCCTGGATGCGTTGGCCGTTTTGCACACATGTTCAAAAAAATTCACCAACAAACATCAGAAAGACGCTGAAAAAGAACAATCCTGTTGGACATCGTCCTCATTAGACATCGACATTCAGGATGGCACGCGTAGGATACTTTGTGCAATTGCACAGTTTGAGTCACGAACGAATCGACTGTAGACATGTATCGACGTCTAAAGCACCGTTCACATTTGTTAACTAAATTTCCGTAAATTCGCGTTAGTTTTTTTCAGTGCCTTTGCGTTAGCTTCTCTATCTGTCTTCTAGTCGGGATCAATGAATTTCATTATGAATAATTCAAGCGAAATGCAGTCAATGCATGACAGACGACGTCTATTCAAGTGGTCGAGACGTAAACAGCTTTTCCTTGCGCAATTTTAACCGCGTCTGAGGTGGCCCTTGGCCCCAGCGAGGTGCTCGAGACGAGTGACCACTACCATGGCCTGGAGCTCATCATGCAAGCGCGCGCGTCGTCATTCGGAACTACGCTTCGTGGGCAATGAATAATAGGCTAATGGAGGCACGCGCGTCGTGCGAAAGACATTGCCGGGGCCGCGGGGGGAGCCGCGGATAATGGATGCGGGGCGCGCGAGCTGTCGACGTCGACGTCGTCGTCGATGCTCCGCGGGGTGGGCGTGGTCGATGTGCGAGAGCCGACGGCGGCGGCGGCGGGGGGCGGAGCGAAGCGGGTGCGGCCAGCGTCGCGGTCGATCATTCGCGACGACGACGCTGAGCCGCGCGACTGTGCCATCGCCGCGACGCGCGACGCGACTCGATAATCGCAGCTGCTTCAGATGGCCGGATGACGATGTCGCTGCTATGCGTCACGAGTAAGTCGAATCCTCCGTGTCCTAGCAGTTCGGAATCACAATCACGACATGTATACGTTGATTGTTTCAGTCAAGAAAGCGCGACTACAGGGCAGTGTTGGTGAGTTCACCGTTTTTATCTAGATTTTTTTTGCTTTTTTGCATTTTTATACTTTTTTGATGATTATCTTCCATTTGAGCCTACTCATGCTTCAGAAATTTCGTAAATTTTTCCTGCAGTCCAGTCATTCCATATAATCTTGTTTGTAGTTGCACACAGTGTCGGTCTTTGCTGCCATCTCCATCCTTTGTTAGCAATAGCACCCTTCAATTGAGTATTTCAATGTTTATGTTTGATGTCTCTTGTCCGTTCAATGATTTAAACCTTTTTTCTCGTTCTTGGCCGAAAATTCAGGCTGTGGCGGCAAAGACGAACTTTTTGTGCAATGACACATCCTATCATTTGGAATGAGTGAACTATATGCGCTTTCACCAAATCTGTCGGTAGCCCATCGTGCCAGTTCCACATTACTTCCAGACAGTTTACTTCCACATCAACAACGCGTGAACCCAAAAGTGAACTTTTTCTCACGCTCGCTAACTCATCTCTATTCCCCATTCAACCATGTTGTCTGGCAGAATGTCGAAAATACGATTGAATGTTTTTCATTTGTGGAATGCTTCAAGTTCAGTTACAATTGAACTTTGGATCCCCGTGAGATTAACGATGTGTGAGACATCTTTAGGTTTTTCGGTGAGAAAAATGCACTACCTTTCTGCGAAGTACACTTAAAAGTTGCCCTTTTTCTCAAGTCCTTCATTACGGTGTGTATTAATCTCTTAACATTTCAAAAATGAAATGTGTGAGCTCATCCGTCAAGGGCACTTCTTATTTATAATTCATAACTCTTGCTCATCATGAATTCGTTTTCTTCATCTGAAAGTAATGCTTTGTTTGAGTAATTACTTTCTTTTGTTTATTTTCTTTTTCTATGCTGAATTAGTATGCAAACTCTAATAGTTTTTTTTGCGAACTTTTCTGGACGTCTTCGTACAGCAAGACGATGCCAATCTTTTTTCTTTCATTCTCGTTCGCGTTCTATGTTGATTGTCCACGGCTCGTTGACTTCGGCCTTATGTTGCCTTATCTTTGAACTCTTCTCTAACGTAATGAACTCCGCATTTCGCAAGGCGAGAAAGACTATAATTTGCGATTGTTCGCTTTCTCACTGAAGCATGCACAGCTAAAGCTTGCATAAGCGGTTCGATTTGTCTCAAAAAGGGGTCCATAAAAGCTGTGAATGTTCCGGTTCACGCCTTGTTTGTCCTTGTGTTGATATGCCGCAGCTGCTACTGCGCTCCTTGCTGTTCGGTTTGGTATTCTCGTCTACGGCCATCAATAAGGTGCTGGGCGCACACGTCTTTGCACTGGCATCTGCCACTGAACGGACGTGCGTCTGCGTTTGAAAATAGGGTGAATTATGTGGTTTAATTAGCTATGCGCCGACAAGGGGCTCGCTTTCAACATCGCTGTGCACTTGGCAGAATTTTTCTCCGGCGACTTTTTTTCTTGCGTTGAAGTCATGAATGTTTATGCTTCACTTCCTTGGCTTCCTCGTTGGTTTATTTCGAAAAAGAGGTTAAGTGCGTGTTGCGTGTTCTCATGTGCATGCACGTGATGCCAGCTTAGAGAATGCAGAGTTCACCTAATTAGGTCTCGTTGCAACACTTTTCCAACACGCACAAAAAGAACGCGCCGAGGACAATTCCCTAAAGCCTCGCGCGAGGGCGCGTGGAACTGCAAAGTGCCGTGCTCGGTTCCGTTGCGACTCTCACGCGTTGTGCGTTTTTTAGCTGCACTTGTTCAACTGATGTCACTTTTTAGTCTAAAGGACCAGATTTACTGCAGCAAGCGAAGCGAAGCGTGGCGATCGCGATCCATCTAGTTCAGCCTTTTTTGCAAGTTCGGTTTACTCACGAGGGCGAGTGTAACTACGGAAATATCCCCAGTAGTGTTTTGTATGCAGCTGTCATTACATTATTTGCGTTCCGCATCATCACACATGCTTCTTGAGAATGGGAAACGTTTGGCATGTTCATTTTTCTTCTTCGTTTGATTTTTATTCAGATATAAATGTGGAAAAGATGCGGCATAATTTATAATTCAACCTGCGTGAAACCGAGTCTGATTTTTAGTCTACCAAAATAGCTTTTTTCTCGAAACCCAATTAACTCTATTGCCTAAAAGTTGAATCCAGGACAGACAAATAGTTGAATTCCAAAATTTATGCGCATTTTATGCGGGATCGATTAGTCCATTTCCGTTCGTGACTCTGCTTTCAACTAATCTTCCGCAGCTGCATCAGCTAACCGAAAACACCCCAGTGGGCTCATTTTGACTTATTTTTGTGTTCCCGAACATCTGTGTAGAGTTGAAAACTCTAGCTAGCGCTAGTGCAGTTAAAATAAGAGTGGGGAGGAGGTTCGAGGAAAATAGGGATTTTGTGGATAAATTCTTTGAATTTGTGCTTTTAGCCGGCTAATCTGAATCGATGAAAAAGATGATGTATGGTTTAATCGTAGTTACCAGATTTGAGAGAAGTGTCCTTGCGGTGTCAACAACACTTGCGCGGGAAATGGCCTTCGATGTTGGCAAATTTCAAGTCTTGCGCATGACCTTTTTTCAAGCGAAATGTTGTGGGCAGCGTAAGTACCTATGCTATGGTTGAAAGTAAAGAATTATAGCTGGTATAAAGCTGAAATGGTAACAAATTTTGAAGGCAGTGAGCGTAATGGGGAAAGACAAACAAGGATATTTACAAATGGAAAAGAGAAACAAGTTTACAAATCCTAACCTAATTGATTTTTACCATGACAGGCATCGCTTCCTTGTGGATATACTTTGTTGATGCAGTCATAATTCGAACAAATTCGAAGTCTCATCAATTTCTAAATTGTATGCGGCGGTCACAATCAACATTCACAGAAGTTTCAAAAAACTGGCAAGAAGAAGTGAGTTGCATAACATCTTGATTATCAAAAGAAGTGAATCGAAAATTAGCTCTTATTGTATGGTTTATGATCCACTTCAAAGAGATTTTTGAAGTGAAATTCCTCACTTATCCCCACTTGAGGCACATTGGTGAAGCCAACTGAAGCTACACTAATTTGTTTCTGCGAAAACAGATTAGCTGGTCGGATATCTATGCATGCATGGGATAATACTTATTAAGTAAATGTCCAATGTAGTAATTGCGGGTATTAGTAAATGGAACACTGGGGAATTCGCTGGCTGTAATGTTTGAGCTATAATTTGATGAAATATTCTCCTATTTGCCCCGGAGCAAAATATCTTCGCAGTCTGAAAATATGAGGGGTATAATTAGGTGGTTTATGATGTCATACAATCTTTCTGGATGAAATTAGGTGGGAAAGACGGTCTAAAAACTACACTTGCCGTCAAATTTGATTCATTACGTGCAGTTGCTCTACTGCACTACCACGCAAAACCGTTGTATCCTTAAAATTATTGGAACCCTTAATCCGGTAACATCTTGATTACCGTTATTTGGAATTCCTTTGACTCTACAAGCTTGTGACTTCATAAACACATAAAAGATCTGAATATTTGGAATTCAGTGCAATTAAACTCCGTACGTAGTAGTAACATGCTAGAGTTCGTAAGAGGGGATTAAATGTTGTTTTTATAATTCTCCCCCACTCAAGTGAATGACCAAATGCTATCAACAAAGTGATGCTTGATCGCTCATTTAGAATTTCTTGACTTCTAGCGTCTTAGAGATAATCATCTGTTGGTAATTAGTTTATCTTCTTGAACTTCGATTTGTTTTTGTTGTTTGGACAATAATTTGAATTATCTGACTACTTGCATAATTATTTGGCATCGTATAGAGCATTTGGAAATTGGATAGTATCTGTAAAATTGAGTTTGTTCCAAAGTTTATTTCGCTTCCTCTATTACACTTTTGTTAGATTGAGGTTTTTATGGCGGGATGAATGGTGAAAACCATCTGCTCCCTTGTCCTTATTTGGTACGATTTGTCATAATTTCCGCCATTTTTGTGCTATTAGGTAGCGATATATCTTTTCAGAAGGTGTGCGGGGTCTGGGGGTGGTGGTGCAAACATCATTTTTTGATTTTTCTTCTGATGTAATAATCTTTTCTGTGTGCAATTTACAAATTGCTATTTTTTGTTACCTCAAGAATTAAAAAAAGGGTCTTAGATTTTTATACGAGTTAGGGCTTATCTCAATCTTATCTCTAAAGTCCAGTAGACGAAAAACTTAGTCACATGGATTATAAAAGTAAACACAATACAGCAACAACACAGTTTCTGGAAAATCTAGAGTTGTATCGCCGAGGCTTTTCCGGTGTTCGTATGCGGAAAATTAACATGTTTGAGTTTTTACAGTTTGCATTAGTAGAGAGCATTTCCAGCATTGTTAAATATTTCTTGATTCAGCATCAGCAATACGAAAGATTTATTTGGTTTTGCTCGGTTGTACTTTGAAAAAAGTTCTGGCAACTTGGGTAATTTTGATTATGCTGTTGACGAAGGAATATGCGACAGTTGCTATCTTCCACTAACAAGGAGTATTCGTGATTCAACGCACCCAAGTCCCAGATCTACTCTAAAAACATAATGGCCTCCTGACATGTGAATTTCATCGAAACTTTTCGTACCTTTGCTGAAAAGCTTTCAAAGTCATTTAGGACGTATTAATGAATTTAAAACTGATATTTTGAATCTGCTCAAGAGCCAGGGGATGCCGAAAGATGTTTCCCACGATCTCATTACGCTGCCATATAACTCCCGCTTAAATGTGTTCCATATGCGTTGGGAAGCGGTTGTCGCAAAACGCCTTTGAACCTTGTGCGAACGATTTAACGCGTAATATGAACTTTGTGGGAGAGTTCAGCTATAGGGCAGCTAATCCTCTAATTGCTCGTTTTCGAGAGATTTGAGGGTTTCTTGACCTTTGACTAGTGGTCTGTGTAGGGATTTGGAATGTTTGTGGGAGCTCTTGAATGCCTGAGAAAAATTGGCATGTTTACGCAACTCAAATAGTTGATGTTTGTTAGTCAAGAAGGTTTATCAA